CAACCACGTAGGATCGCCCTGGACAAGGTGAATGCATCAAAATCTTTGTCCGATAATAATAATAAATGCTGGAATTGGTTGTCCATAAAAAAATGCATTGGCCTCCACTTCATTTGGTATAGAAGATAGTCAGGAAATAATGAAGGCCACATGATGATTCTAGAAGACTCAATGCAGAAACGGTTGCAAAGCAGATGTTATGGATGACTCTTTGGCTCTAAAAGGCACAAACACTATCTTTAAATTTAACCTTAAAGTGTATTTAATGAGAACTCTACACACCGCACACTGGCTTTATAACCTCCCAATTCACCCCGATCACCCTTGTGCTGGGAATTTTGACCAGAGTCTGTCATATTGTTGCGCAGTCCTCCTTCCATAGATATTTCCCCAAAGGATCCGTCTTCTATTTCCCTCGTTCAAGCATTTTACTCGACATCTGCCACGCATTCTGTGCTACTCAATGCGTTATTTACCACGCTCTGCCTCTGGGAGACCAAATTGAGGCTAAAGAACCCGAGTAATTTTTATGGTGTACTGTTATCTAACTAGCTCTAGTCTCCGCCGCATTTATTGTGTTGCTCTATCCATAGTGCCAAGTCAATGGCTTCCTATGCCCTAGTATCTTATGTGCCAACTCGCAAATGTAGTTTTTACTTGTTTTGATTAGGTTCAATGTAGAACGACAAAATTTGCCGACAAAACGTCTGGGAATGTACCACATCCACGTTCCGACTCTGAAAATTATCATACATACTATGGACTCCTGATTAGGTGTGTTCCTCCAGGTCTTCATACCAATATGGACAATTTGCGAAAACAAGGTTAAGCAACTTGTATGCAAAGAAAGGATATTGTGACCATACTAAAGGCCACATCACACTGGTCTCCATACCTTTAATCTGTTAATCTTCCCAAATAACTTAGACACTATCGGTCGCTGAAGACAACATAAGCACTGAAAATAGCTGTTTGACAAAGTTTTCGCAACTTGGTCATATTGGAAGGAAGACCTAGAAGGTATATTGTCCGGAGTCCATAGTATGCATGATAATTTGCAGAGTCGAACCGTGGACTTGGTACATTACCAGATATTTCGCTGGCATCGTCAATGAATCTTGTCATTCTTAGCACCACATTACGCGGCAGAGACAAGTAAAGTTGATCCTTTGACCACTACTCTGCTCATTAGTTGTGTCAACTCTCCCTTTCTTCTGGAGCATTCACCTATCCTATATTATCTTAATAACACTTTAACATCGCAATATTTTACTTGTTTATCTCGATCTATTTGAAACCTCTTCACACTCACCTCAGGCTTTCTTATTTCCATTCGACTGTGCCGGGAGTGTTGAACCAAGGTTGCGGTTTAATCAGCAATTCACTCCCTTCGGGTTCTATCAGAATCTCTCTCTCGTTTCTTACATTCCTGTCCTAATCAGCTTGTTTCGGTGATTTCATTCTGTCACCGCATCTGAGCATGGCATGGCATAGGAACCCAAATTAATGCTACAGACCCCCTTATCACTATGCCGCATGTGCTCCGAGTAAATCTCGTCTATGATCAAATTTATCTACTAGTAGCCAATAATAACAATAATAAATGCTGGCATTATTCGTCCATCAAAAAGTGCATGGGCCTCCACTACATTTGGTTCACAAGATAGCTAGGAAAGAATGGAAGCTACGTGGTGTTTTAAGAAGACTCAATACCTCACTCAAGTAAACATGCTAAAATTGAAGCGCTGCTCTTCACCTCGTGACCGACACCTCCGACCAGGGTGTGGAGGGTAAACTATCAGGTTGTTGATGGAGTTCAGACTATCGCTTTCTACTCCCGAAAATTTACATTATTAGAGAAGAGATAGAGCACTTTTACTCGTGAGCCTTTGATGGTGTATTCATCTGTGAAATATTTCGAGTGTATGCTAATTGGAAGACAATTTATTGTATTGAAAGACCACCAACCTTGGTATGGAACCATAAAGAGCGCTTTAGACAAATATTCCCCACGCGAATTCCGTCAAATGGACTGCATCACACAATTCATTGGCGATTTGCGCAACGTAAGGGAAGACAGCATCGTTGCAGACACCGTCTCCCGCCTTGATATGGTTTCTGTTTTAATCGACGCCCTAAATGATTATCAAGCCATAGCTGAAGCTCAGAAACGTGAACGCAGTCAAATCGCCGCTCAATAATGGCCCAGACTGACGATGACATAGGCAGAGATGCCATAAGGTACCAGGATCCGGTGTGATATGTCTACAGATAAATATCGTCATTTCGTCCCTTACATCATGCGAAGATTAGTCATACATGGGCATTGTCGCTCGCCCACCACCTTGTAAGGAAAATCGCTATTCCCTTACCATTTTGAACGGCTTTACACGATGACGAGAAGGCATTCCAATGCCAGACATACAGGCGGAGACAGTTGAGATAATATTTATCACTCAATAGGTTTCCAGATTTAGCGCATTGGCAACCATCACACTCGACATGGACAAGCAGTTTGTATCCGATATTTTCGTCCAGCCATCTAAATTTTGCATAAATATTAAACCACTACTATCTATATTTCCATTATGAAATAAATAATACTGTCCCATTGGATAACTGTATGAGATATATGATATGAGATATATTAGGCCTATCAGATGAGCCGCAAAATCTGGATTAACAATTAGAATGGGAACCTGATGCTGAAGACTCCCATGTCACTTTTCCACATATGAACCGAGGAAATCTCAAGGTGAAACCTTTGCTTGAAGATCCACGTATATGATAAAACCTATCTACGAATAGCCAATAATTACCACCTCTCGCTCTTCTATCCCTAACGCCAAATATATGACTTTCTTATGCCTTAGTTCAGTTGTCTTAGCTTTTCCTAGATATAGTGCCCTTTTTCAATTAAAATTTTTCCATGGCCCCATACCCTAAGTATAACTATTCGTAAGTAAGAGATAAAAATAAATAAAACTCGTATATCTTCATTATGTTTTTTACTTTATTAACATTAAATTAATAGAAGTTGT